ATGATTATATTAATGCACATAAATCTATGTTTTACAGGCTGTAGTTCATGGTCAACACCCTAATTCAACAATTAAATACCTAAATCCACATGAAAAGGTTACTGTCAGTACGTTGTCTGAGAGTAACATTTTACAAAATGCTGTAACAGAATCTGCGCCTGAAGACAAATCAGGAAGCACATTTGGAGAATTAAAATATACCAAAAACGACGTGAAAAGCCAAAACAAAGTAACTACCGACTCGGTATCACTTGAAGAAAGTACTGTTAACGGTAGATCAGAGGTTAAGACTAATATAAAGCAAACTACTTCTGTTGGAGTACAACATATCAATATAGACAAAACAACTCGTCTACCAAAACCAATTCATTTTCCAGGAGGTATCTTTATCATATAGTAATGTTTGTGTACCATTTCTCAAATTAGGCATTTTGTATGTAAAAATGTTCAAAAGGTGTCCGGTTGATTGTCCCTGACCAGTAGAAGGTAAGACAAATGAATACTACCTTTGATGATTTCAAAGAGGCAATGCTGTCTTTTTTTAAAACAGAGAGCTCTTTATTATACACAAAGTGTATGTAATCAGAAAATAGTCTTCCAGCTTTCTACAGACCTTACTTTTCTATGCAATATCTAAATTATTATGAAAGTAGGTTTTTTTTTATTTGATTTTATTTCAAAGATTCACATAAAATTGTCCTTAAGATAATCACCTCGACTAAATGTATATTTCAAATTGTACTTATCAGATGTGTATTTTGTTTCAGATCATGCGGATATGTATTCGAACAGCTTATTTCTGCAGGGTCACGTGTTCGGGTTGCGTGATGACCTCATAAACATGATCCATATGTCATTGTCGTCTGGCAACACCTTTATTCCTGTTGAGGCTCTCAGAGTAGATCCATTAGAAAGTTCATTCGAAGAAATGGGTTACGAAGGGTATATCTCATTCTTTGTTTATTTTCAGGCATCGTGTAAGTTTTGAATCAAGTTGTCTGCATTATGAATAGAAAACAAGAAAACCAAGGAAGAGAATGAACATTATAGCAAAATCGCATAGTATGGGATTTGAAGCGATGTTCAATCTTATCAAAATAACTATAAATTAGGACGAACATGATGCACTAAGGAGACAGATATTGATTCATATCATAACATTCTAGAGGTTGTTTTACAAACAATCATGTAATACCTTTCTAAAATTTCATGTGAGTTATTAATGTTGTGTAAAACTTGATTATTTTCAGGGAAAAATACACTCAGATCCGGTATGTGGTAAGCTACAACGGTCAGCCAATCCATACTGAAGTTATTACAAGGTTAATGAGCTCGCCAAAAGTTTCTCATCATTTCAAAAAGCAACTTGATGGCAGGCAACTTCGTGAATACAAGGCAGCTAAATCAATTAAAAAGGAGGTATAATCTTTATATAAAAGAAAGATTTTTTTTTATTTTAATCCTACAATAATGTCGTTTGCAGTGTCGGTGCCAAGAAAAAAAAACGACAATTATGAATTACAAATTAAAAAACGCCGCTTGACAAGATACATATCATAAATTTAATTCAATAGTTTTTACGTATCTGATGATGCTGTAATATTGTGGTGAAATGTATGCGGCCTTATAGTGTCACAAAAGGCGAATTTTAATGTTATTTTAAAATAGAATCGAAGCGTAGATCATTACAACACCTGTGCGAAAATTCATTATGCCTATATAGCTGTGTATTTAAACTCATGGATATCAGTATGATTCTAGACAAGTTTTGCACGATATTGTTTAAGTATTCGCAAATTTTAATTTCAATTTTGATTACAGACATGGACACATAAACATCTTGTTGCCATTGTTGTACCATCATGTGTTGCTTTTGTTATCATTCTTGCGGTCGTATTTGCTGTTGCAAGAAAAAGGTACGAAACATATGATTTGATTACAATATAAACTATAAACTTAACATTTCAAAGGTATTCGTAAGATAATCGTTTCTATTGTTTTGTTTGTTTGTTTTCTTGTTTGTTATTTTGTTCTTTTTGGGCGGGGTGAAGGTAGATTATAGATCGGTTATAAAAAATGATAGGATAGATGATTATAATATCTGTGAAATTATATGTTTCATACGATCGATCATTATCTGGTGGAAATGCTCCTTAGTTCTGCACAATCTCCATACAAATTTCGTCATTCATCAGTGCTAGATGACATTTAGTTAAGGTAAAATCTAGCTAAGACATGCTTTGAAAATATAAAAAAAAATGGTAATAGAGATTTAAAATGAAATATAAGTTTAAGTCAATTGAAATAACTTAAAGTCGTAAAAATATTTTTTCCAGACGTGTAGCAACATCAAAGATGATGGAGCAGAAAAAGAAATCTTGTAAATCTAATGTTGTGTCTGACAAGAAGTGTCCACCACCACCACCGTACAGTGTTGTTAACCCTGCCTATAACTTTGAAACAAATGCTGTCATGGAAGGCTATACTGAGCCGTAAAAGTAGCGGCGAAATTCAGACTTTGTATGATAATGTTCAAATCCTTGTTATTTGTTTTAAAATTTTATGTACGTTCTAAAAACTTCTTATGTATATCAAACCCCATGCCATGCATCTTACAAACAGTCGAATGATAATTTAGGCACATTATGCCTAAGAAATAAATAATTTTTACTTCTTTAGAAATGTCAAGCATGAGTTTGTTTTTTTTTAGTTTAAAGAATGGTTTTAGAGTATGTTAGATGCTTGTCACCAGAAGAGATTAGCGCTAAATGTGAAATAAGATGTCCTAAAGGTGGCAAAATTCAAACAAAGTAGTATTTTGACTTCCATACAAAATAATAAATCACTATAACTGTGCAAATTGCCAAAAAGCAACATACGGAAAACAATTTTCAGGTAATTGACTAATAATGAACATTTTGGAAATTATAAAAGTAAACCAGAATTAAAAAGATTTTGAGAAATAGAATAAAAAACATTGCTGGGGCATAATGGGCCTTTAAATAACCAGTACCTCAGTATCTTTATAAATTTATAAACAATCACTCGATTATATTATGAACATTATGATGTTGAATAAGATATTTTTTTAGCGATTCTGTGTTTAATAAAATTCACTGGATTTAAACCACTTATTATATTTTTTTACGGTAGCTAACAAAGAAACATAAACCTTTCAAACAGTATAAAACTCGTTCGTTTCCAAAACAAAATATTTCTGACGCCATGTTCAGTAGGAAAATATCAAGATTATGATCAAATCATTCAAATGATCAATATTCATTTTCCTTGCATTATGAAACATAAATTGAGCCGCGTCATGACAAAAACAACATTATGGGTTTGCGACCAGCATGGATCCAGACCAGCCTGCGCATCCGCACAGTCTGATCAGGATCCATGCTATTCGCTATCAGTTCCTCTACTTGTAATAGAGTTGGTAAGCGAACAGCATGGATCCTGATCAGACTGCGCGGATCAATATTAGGATTAAGATAATTTTTTGTATCAAATGTAAAATGCCCATATATTGTAAAGTATCAAATTTTCACGTACATGCTGTTATCAGGTTAATACTGAATATTAAATCTACGAGGATTAACACTGGAGATTTTTTGAGTTTTAATTTACCTTTTATTTTATAAAGTAAAATAGCAACTACGAATGGTTGTGGGATGAGCCATTTTGATAAACACTATCAAGGTCGAAATTTCAAGGGCCTAAATCTATTTAATTTCTATCACTCTCAGATAACCGTAAATAATTCAAGTAAGATGCACATTTTATCCCAAAACATAAGCAAAGTGTTGATAATTTAGGCAATCCTAACGCTATATTCATAATATTTTAATCAAATGTACGCCGTTTAATTTTATAGTACGAGATGTTTCAGACCTTAGTTTTGATAATTATAATGTCCTGATTAAAGATAACAATCTATCAGTAATAGACTTACTCCGGAATTAAGAATATTTTGGGATTTTCCCCCAAGCTTATCGGGGGATACAATCGTACTTTTACGTATAGGATATCGACCGAGTACGAGGTCTTTCTGTTTAGGAAAGACCTGGTCACGAATTTTATGTGACACCGAGGAGAGCGCGTAGCGCTCGAGGTGTTCATGAAATTCGTGACCAGGTCTTTCCTAAACAGAAAGATCGATGTACGAGGACGATATCCAACTTACACACCGTAAAACTATATTGACTTGAGCAGTGGCTGATCCAAAGAATTTGATGTAATGCACAGATATTATTTTTAACACAACGCATATACAGGTAAGCTTTTATCAACGTTCTACTGAAATAGGTCTTAATGGAAGGTTTTTAAAGAAAGAATAATTATGTTGATAGTATTTCGTATCAGACAATGCAGGTTCTAGGATATTTTCCCACAGATAGTCCCCCCGGACGTTTGCCCCCTTTTGTTTGCTGTTGTCATTTGTTACTAATCATCTCGTGCATAGATTTTTGTATGCCATAGGAAACATTATAGTTCAATTATTTATGGATGCGATTTAGACTTTCACAAATTTGCGCAAGAGCTTTTTTGTATTTAAGCATAATGAAATGCCGACAATAGGCGATGAATTTTGGTTTAAGTCGAACACGATAACGTTTACATTAATCGGTCGAACCATAATAATATAACAGTTTATTCAAGTTCATCAATTATTACGTGTCGCATTTGTATTGCAATATAGAAAAATAAAAGTGGAAATAGACTCATAAATTTGAGTAGCGTAGTGGTTAGAGAGTTCAGATTATGAAGACCTCAGGTTTTGGAGTTCAAATCTGCAACTGTGTACATTTTTTGAGTATGGTTTTTACTTTTAATAGAATGTATTTTTATAGTGTAACACGTAACTTTTCATTTTCTCTTTTATAACATTTTGCACACTTTTTTAAAAATTTTGGCTCATTTTATACACCATATACATATTTTTTCTTCTATTGCTCATTTATCTCCCTAGTCACGACTGTGTTGTCTTACACTTAAAACCTGTTGAAAGCGAATATGTGTATAACTAAATGTTCTCCATATAGAATTGTGTGACTGAAATTCACTTGGAATTAATATCCAGTTCTTTGTAATAAAATAAATACTAAAAATAAAAAGTAAAATGAAAAAAAGGCTTTGTCCAGGATACGAACCGGGGTCTCCACATTCACAGAGCGGACACTCTACCACTATACTATTATGCTAAATACATAAAAATAGGTGGCAAAAAATTTAGGCGATAAATAGTATGTTTTTATATCAGAATTATCGACACCCCTATTTGTCAATATTGATGTAAACAGATAATGAAAGAAATAGCGAATTCGAGCTGTAGCAAACAATTCAACAATAAATATTTTTAAACATTCTTAAAACAGGGAGAGGGGGGGGGGGACAAATCCGAGGGGGCAACTGTCCAAAGGGCATACCCGGCAGACCACGAAAGACTTACATATGAATAATATTGGCAAGTGTGAGATTCATGAACGGAAACTATATTTTATATAACAGATTATAAAATGTTCTAGAGTTAAATCATAATTTTTTAAAACTAAATCACTTAGAACTTGATTAACATTTTTAAATCGAAATTAGTATGCTGGATTACTGCTTTATAGTTTCATAGATATGAACTTGAAGCGTCCATTTTGTTATATTGTGAACTTATTGACAGAAGAAACACTTAGATTACTATTTCTTTGAAAAATGACGCGATAAAATAGATGTTAGATGTGTCCTAACTTTGATATGCTATCCATTCATTTTATTCAAAGATTTGATATAGGGATGCTGGAATAATTGCTAAGTACAATCAATAAACAGTATCTTGTTTAAAAAATGTATCCTAATTTTGTGAGACAGGAACATTGTGACAATCATTTACATTTTATTTCAATTTTTAATTTTTGATAATATTTCATATTGTCTTTGTCTGCGCATTGGCAGGTCTATTTTTTCACGTGTATTTCATGACCGGGTCTGTCTGACTAGAACAGACCTGTGCACGTGCAAAAGATAGACCTCATAACGGACTTTCTTTTGTTTAAACAGGTCTATCCGAAAAATATAGACCTGTCACAAACAATAGAGGAGGCGTGTAAAGTATAAGGGCAACAACTGACTTATCTTTTGTGACCGGTAATGCACCACCGTGAAACTATAAGTTAGCTTGTACCGGGGGATTAGCTCGGGTAAAAAACACACATTTTCTGACTTCCGGATAAAATCTATTTGTAAACAGTACGATTTTTAAAAAATCAATGTGAACTTATAAAATCAGTTAATTTCTAGTATCTATACTATTCTCAATCATGAGAGAAGCATTTATATTTGAACTAATTCAACATACAGCAATAATAAAAAAAATGAGCCGTGTCACGACAAAACCAACATAGTGCGTTTGCGACCAGCATGGATCCAGACCAGCCTGCGCATCCGCGCAGTCTGATCAGGATCCATGCTGTTTGCTTACCAACTCTATTACAAGTGTAGAAACTGACAGCGAACAGCATGGATCCTGATCAGACTGCGCGGATGCGCAGGCTGGTCTGGATCCATGCTGGTCGCAAACGCACTATGTTGGTTTTGTCGTGACGCGGCACAAATCTTTTCACACGCGTCTGTATTGACAATTTGTTATAATCAAATTGCTTCAGACAGATTTAAATGGAAGAGACTGTCATTCTTTACACTTAACTGTTATGTTTTAAAACCAATTTCAGGTCAAGGTCATAGTTTAAGTTGGGCAAAATGTGCCGGTTTAAGTACAATATATAGAAGGCGAAAAAAAAATTGTCAAAACCATATAATATTATGGAAATTGAAAATTTGCCTTCAAGAATATTATGTCTCGTCTCTGCAAACATATTGTTGTATTTTATTTAATATGTTTCCAGTATTAAAATAATGATAAAATACAACCAAAAATCAACAACATATTTATTACATGTGTAATAAACAAAACAGTAACGTGTCTAAATATGAAAGCCAAACAATTTCATTAACATTTTTTAGCTCAATACATTTATGTTTTTCTTCCTGTTTATTTATCACCAGTATAATTATTTTTTTTATTATAGTCGGTATATTCTATATTTTCATTTATGTATCAGACATTTATATTATCGTCTGCTATCCCAGTCGGTCTTGTACTCTTCCATACGTTCATTATAACTAGAATTCACGGCAGCCTCATAGGACGGGGGTGCACCTGGAAAACAAAACGAAACGTTCATTCAATTTTCATTTTAGTTCAGAATTCCAATTAATTCTTAATCCTTTACTTAAGAATTTCTTTGAGGATTTCAATTTGGATTTGATTTGTAAGTCAATGTCATTATCAAAAAAATCTTTAGAAGAAGTTCAGAAAATCCACTTGTGTTGTATACCAATGAACAAATCAGCCAGAAATTAAAATGCAGAGACCAGAAATGTGCACATATTATTGTTTTTATTGTTATTCAATCGTTAAAAAATTTCTTTTAAATTTTAAAGGGAATTTTTTTATGAGGACCAACCTACTTTCAAGGTGTTAAAATCGTTTTTAATTGTAAAATTTATTATTCTACAAATGTCTTTTTTAATTAAACTTTTAATTTATGCCTTTTTTTACACAAAGATGTTAATAAATTTCTAATTATTTCCCGTAGTTCTGATAATAAGAAAAATTTTTCCAGTAAAAAATCAGTAATATTAAAGCCGTGTGCGACCACATTTACATTAACTAAAATTTTTAAGCTGATCCAAACCAGATTTTAATAACAAAATATATGATAATAACTTATTAACTACCTGAAGGGGGTAAATGTGGCACATAATTACCAGATCCAAGTGTGGTTGGTTGATCTGCAATCTTTGGCGATGCAGGAATTTGGACTTGTTGCGACACACTCGGACAGCTCGGGCCAAAACTGGTTTCCTGTAATGGCTGGAAATGGCTCCTTTGCTGAGCCCCATACCGACCCGGGCTTGTCCTCACGTAAGGAGCCTGCTGCAAAGGTATGTTAGTGTGTTGAGTTCGAGTTGGAACGTGTAGTTCTTGTGGTACTGGAACATGAGTCCCTAAAGGATAGGTCCGAAAGCCTTGTGCATGGATTTGAGGGCTCGGAGGATAGTGTACAGTTGAAGGCTGTATTGCTGTAACATTTCTATGACCTGAAAAAATTTAGAAACGTCCTCACATATATATGGTTCCCCTTATAGATCGGGGTACTAGATAATGAGGCATAGTGTGCCTTTAACAGACCATCGGGACTTAAATTGCAGAAATAAGAAAGATGTTGTTCTTTTTCACTTAGAAATACATTTGGAATATTTGGGCTGTAAACTTTGTGGTTTAGGTGTATGACAAAAATAGTTCAACTCTGACCGATGTTACACATATTCAATGCAATAAAATTAGTAATGTTGACTATATACATGTATATTTTATATAATGTCTCATTTCAGATAAATTAATACAGTGTTCTTAGATCGGGTAATACAAAATATTCACAAGTGAAAATTCACTAATGAATATTCTAAACGCCCGGCTTCCCAATGGAAAAGTTTCTTGAAAATCAGTCAGTTCTCCCAAAAATCTTAACTTACACCAGCTTTTTTACTTCCCAAATTAGCAGTTTCAGCAATATTTTTTTCAAGGCCTGAGAAAAATCATAAACACAGTAAACTTGGAAAGTATTCATTATTGTTAATTAAGTCCATTGTAATGTTCAAATTGTTTATAATGTGGATGCAAATCCAAAGTATGTTTTTTCTTACACGTAGTAATGAGAAAGTTTTGTTACTACCTAATAATAGCTTTGATGTAGTAAATATGACAGAACTTGACAGAATATTGAAGAAAGGCAGAATAACTCTTAATGTAAGACCGACTGAATGTTTTAAAAGTTACCTCCCTTGCATTCACGATAAAGTGGAACACGTTTCATAAGTAAAGAACAGAAACGTATCTTTTGGATATCTTACGAAATATCAATCAAATTAAAAGTCAGCGCTCCGAATGCCGATCGACTATATTTGAGGAACTAGTTATCACTTATCGGGAGTTTTTCGACTTATATTAAAAATATTGAATAATATATTTATCTGAATTAATTAAAATGTTTCATTGTCACAATAAATAAGATATCAGGTTTGATATTATTAATAAATGAGCCGCGTCATGACAAAACCAACATAATGGGTTTGCGACCAGCATGGAACCAGACCAGCCTGCGCTTCCGCGCAGTCTGATCAGGATCCATGCTGTTCGCTATCAGTTTCTCTACTTGTAATAGGGTCTGGAATACATATAACAACATTTTTAACGTGTATTCGTTGTAAATTGTTTTTGTGGAAACTTAATACAAAGGTAAAAGGAAAACAATAAAACAATATATTTTCTCTTTACATGGGCAACATAAAAAATTTCATTCATCTTTATACGAATGTGATTTATTTATCAAAAAAAGGATTTTAACTTACCTGCCATATTTTCATGCTGGTGTTTGCATTTACAGTAAACTACACATCCGATTATCAACACAATACTTGGTAGCACTGTAGCCAACACTATAATAGGCACAGGTACCGCAGCTGAAATGTGTAGGATACATACTAGTAATAAGAATAAATATTTTTTTTTTGTATAAATTAGGTAATTTACACATTAAGCGTTTAAACGTAGGAAAATAATTTAATCGATTTTCAGACATAACATGGTACATATTATTTACTTAATAGTAGCAAACATTTAACTAACTACAGGGGCTGTGGCCTTGGATTGTAAGAAAGGGCCTCTACGGACTAACAGGGACTTTACAGGGACCAATGGTTGCTTGCAGAGACAGGGAGCAGCAAGGTGCAGATATTCTCGCCTATATGGCTTTGTCTCAGCGGCGAGTTAAGATAAACTTTATAATCATCAATATCCACAGTATATAAACGATTTGAACCCCAACCGGATCTTGTGAGAAGATGTCAGTGTCAGCCATGTTCTGACGCTTAACTTGTTTGATATATTGGTATTTATATTGATACTTATGGACGTTAGGTTAGTAAATCTATATTTATATCGTAGAAGAGAAACTTTATTAAGTGTTTTAGTTATGCAAAATATAAATGTTAGCATTAAAGCTATAAAATAATCGAAACTCACGAACTGCTTTCAGGTAATCAACACTAAACACTAGCAAAAATTCGTCTTATTTCAAGGTTTATTTAGTTAAACATTGAATTGTGATATCGAACTACTAAAATTATCAATAACAAACGAAAATTTAGTCATCTGCAAAAAATATTGCTGTATTTTGAACATTTAATTAAGAGTTTAACCAAGGAGGTCAATTCTGTAAACTGAACGTTACTTGCTGGTGATTGTGAACCCTACTTGTGAATTTACGAATTTTATCTGTACCCTGACTTGTGAGTATTTTAAAAGATTTAATGGAGAGAACGTTAATTATTTAACGTATTTATTTGTTTATTTAAGGCAAATTGGAAGAATTCAGTTGTCTTCATTGCCCCCTTTCTATTAAAAAAAATCGGAAACACTATTGTTCATAATTTGGACATCAGAACAAAAGCTCTCAGTTTGACAACAATAACAGAAACATTAAAATCATACTCAAAAGAATCTATAAATATTCAAAAAGAACTGAAAAAATAAAAAGGACTTTAAAAGCAAATGACATTACAAAAACAGTAAAAATTTCAAGACAAGAAGAACTTGAAAAATAATCTCCAATCAAGAAATGTCAAAAAATCAAAACGCCTGTTAAAGATGTTCACATATCGACAAAAAGATACGTTTTTTAGTACAGATTACGAAGAGTTTAAGTTTTAACTTTTGACAACTTATTTCACAGATCCCACATTTATGTTTTTTTTCACACGAAAGCTACTGTCAAGACCCTAAACTTCAAATGATTCACCCAAATGATGGCCAAATCCGTCTGAAATACATGTTTATTGCAATTTATAGAAAGGAACTGGATTTTTATATATCTTTTGACTTAAGATAACTTATAATAACCAATGATAAACTTTTTAAGTTATGTGAAAAGAAAACTAACAAGTTATCTTAGAAACTGGCAAGACCTATGCATGTCCTGTTGTTGTTGTTTTCTATTTCAGAAGGCCACATTGGAAATAAGATAAATTTGATTGTTATTGTATGTTCTTAATGTGTATTCTTCTTTAAATAAAGATATTATTATTATTATTATTATTACTGTAAACTATTTAAAAATAAGTGGAAATAAACTTGCAAGAGTGAAAACTACCTTTTAGACATTTATCAACAATATGCAGGTAACTCCTTAAAATGATCCTAGTCGTGCATGTCAGAAAAAGAAAGCCAATGCATTTATGAGAATATAAAGCATATTAAAATCAACGGTATGTGTACAAGCTTTCAACATGTTGAAATATTAGTAAGTAATCTGCCAAAAAATCCTGTGATGATCTTTCGAGGAGGATGGATTGTTCTTGCATAGCAGACTGGCGTTTCCGTGAGTTTTACCCATGCCAGAAATTTCATCTGGCATGGGGGGTGCCAGATGAGTCGCGTGCCAAACAAAAACGTCATTTTAGCGCACTTTATTAATGAATCGCGTTAAAATGACGTCGTTTTAGAGGGGAAATATGTCTTAGGATGACGTCATTTCGCCGTTGTTATTTAAGTTGTAAGTTCATACGCTATTGTAAGAAAATAGTTATGGATGAAATGACTTTGATTTCCATGAACATATATCATATTGAGGTAAACTATTTTAAATATGAAATAATATGGCAGAATATGCAAGAAAAAATATCTTTCATATGTTTGCGGCTCGGATCGGAATATCCGTCCCTCGGGACGGATATTCCGGTCCGAACCGCATCATATGACAGATATTATTATTCTTGCATAGCAGACTGGCGTTTCCGTGAGTTTTACCCATGCCGGAAATTTCATCTGGCATGGGGGGTGCCAGAAGAGTCGCGTGCCAAACAACAACGTCATTTTAGCGCACTTTATGAATGAACCGCGTTAAAATGACGTCGTTTTAGAAGAGAAATATGTGCTTAGGATGACGTCATTTCGCCGTTGTTATTTCAGTTGTAAGTTCATACGCTATTGTAAGAAAATAGTTATAGATGAAATGACTTTAGTTTCCATGAACATATATCATATTGAGGTAAACCATTTTAAATATGAAATAATATGGCAGAATATGCAAGAAAAAATATCTAACATAATTTTGTTTGCGGTTTGGATCGGAATATCCGTCCCTCGGGAACCCGCCCATGGGCGGTAATTCGGCAAGCCTCGTTACCGCCCAATGGGCGGGTCCCCTCGGGACGGATATTCCGGTCCAAACCGCAACATGTGACAGATATAGAGGATATTGAATGAGTGTAAGTTCAATACTGAATTTATTGCACGAGTTGAATAAAATTACATTATGCGAGCCTCTGGCGAGCATAATATTATTTTATTCAACGAGTGAAATAAATTCAGTAATGAACTTACTCGAATTTAATATTCTATTTATCACATACCCAAAATAAAGACCGTTTCAAGTGAAATAAAAGTCATCTTTTATTGACGCGCCTATAGTATAACGTCAACATTTAGCGCGTCTTTACACTATGTTTATTTCATGCTTTCCAGTGTTTTATAGTAATATATCAGATGATTATATTCTGATAAACCACTAGTGAAATTTATAAAATATAATTTTCACTGTAGCCGGACTATATCTGAATGCGGATGAAAAGAAAATCATAACTAAATGGAATAACAGGCAGAAATAAATGCCATCATACGTAAATTTTGCTTCTTGAAGAAAAGAAAGTCGATGTCACCATACATCATGTTAAAAATGTAACAAAATTAGAGAAATTTAACAGAACTATATTTCAAAATTGATGATGTGACGTCATGATGTGATGACGTCACAAAGGAGAATGCGCGACGATACGCGGCAAAATCAGTAAACAATACTTAAAATCACTTAAAAAACATGAA